TGGCTAAATCAATAAGTTTGCCTTCGGTGCCCAGCTGCTCTGGAGACTGAGACAAGAGGACCTTCAAGTTCAAAGCCAGCCTCAGCAATAACTTTGCCTTCGGTGCCTCCTCTCTACCCAGGGCCCCCAAATACACCTGAGTGCCCACCATTGTACCTTGTCCTCCCAGGGGACGCCATGGAGAGAGGGAGTCACCCTCTGACTGAAACACAAAGGTTCTGCTCTCTCCACTGATGCAGAGAGAGATGAATGGAAGCTGGGGCAGCCGTCAACGTGGGCCTAAACCAGGACGAAGTGCAAGGTCATGAGCAGATGTTAGGAGGGAGGAACTGGGACGTGGTGCCTGCCCTGGGTCCAGCCAGGGAAGAGAGTCCAGGAAGATCCCAAGGGCTGGCATCATGTCATCCGGGAGGGCCCTGAAGAAGGGGGCGTCTTAGCTTAGGTCTCCTGAAATTGAGACAAGGATTCAAACACAAATGGCTTATTTTGGAGGCAATCCCTGGAAATGCCAGCAGGAGAGCAGAGAAGTGGCACAGGAAAGTGGAACTTCGATGACCACGTGAGCTGCCCCTCCCTGCAGACAGCACTGAGCCTGGGGAATGCCAGAGTCACCTGTGAGCTACGGGAGCTGGGCCTTCAAATGCCAAGTCTAGCCAGAGGTTGGTGGAGGTCGCTCCAGCTCAGGTCCGCTCCCCAGCACTTCCTGTCTGCTCCAGGGAAGCCGGGTGTGCCCCGTGCCAGAGACGGCCCTCAGGCAGAAGAGAGCAGGACTGCTGTTGGAAGCCAGGCCGGTGGCACAGAAGTGACCAGATCAGGCCATGGGCTGGGCCATGTCAGGGGCAGGAGAGCAGGAGCCAGTGTCCAGGGCAGACAGAGACAGAGTGTGTTTTTAGGTCACCCAGCTGTGTGGGGTGACTCCTGACCCCGTGGGGGAAACGGGTCACTTAGTGGAATAGGACTGATTCTTCCAGATGGGTGACAAGTCCCAGAGAGGACAGAAGACAGTCACAGCAGGAGCCAGACAATGGCCAAGTTCATGATCTGGGTTAGACCTGGGTCTGCATTTTTCGCCTTTCCACGAGTCATTCTCAGAAGGGTTAAAGCCACCGCAAGGAGCAGGGAGAAGAGCATCACAGGTGCTGGCCGCCGTGGTTCACACCTGTAATCCCAGCTGCTCTGGAGACTGAGGCAGGAGGACCACAAGTTCAAAGCCAGCCTCAGCAATTGGCGAGACCCTAAGCAATTTAGTGAGACCCTGTCTCGAAATAAAATATAAGAAAAGAGTTGGGCCTCTCCTCAGCATATGCTAAAAGGACTTAAAAGCAGCATACTATAGTGACCAGCCACATCAATGTTCATAGCAGCTCAACTCACAATAGCCAAGCCGTGGAACCAACCTAGGTGCCCTTCAATAGATGAATGGAGAAAGACAGTGTGGTATAAGAATGGTGTGTTTCTACATTGTGTACAACCAGAAAATTGAAATGTTGAGCTCCATTTGTGTGCAATGAATTGAAATGCATTCTTCTGTCATGTACAACAAAGTAGATCTAATTAAAATAATAAATTTTAAAAAGAATGTGTTATATACACACAAAAGAATATTACTCAGCTATAAAGAAGAATGGGATTATGGCATTTGCTGGTAAATGGATGGAACTGAAGACTATCATGCTAAGTGAAATAAACCAATCCCCCAAAACCAAAAACTGAATATCCTCTCTGATAAGCAGATGCTAACTCACAATAAGGGGGGAATAGAAGTTTGCTGAATTAGACAAAGGGGGATGAAGGGAAGGGAGGGAGGGTGGGCATAGGAAAGACAGTAGAATGCGCTGGACATAACTTTCCTATGTTCATATATGAATAGACACCAGAGAAACTCCACATCATGTACAACCACAAGAATGGGCAGTTATGCTCCATGTATGCATGACATGTCAAAATGCTCTCTATTGTCATGCATATCTAAACAGAAATAAATGAAATATCTTTTAAAAGGGGGCTGGGGACATGGCCCAATGGTTAAGTGCCCCTGGGTTCAATCCCTGACACCAAAAAAAGAAAGAAAGAAAGAAGTAATTGTCCCACCGCTGTCCTGACTTCCGTAACCTCGTCACTCAAGGCCTAGCAAAGCTGGTCACCCTCCTCTGAAAACTTTCCTGGAACTGTGGACTGAATCTCCCTGGGCCTGTTTTCACCAACACTTCTTTCTAGAAAGAATACAGTGATTTGTGTCTGAAAGATCATTTGGGGCTGGGGTTGTGGCTCAGCAGAAGAACACTCGCCTAGCATGGATGAGGCCCTGGGTTCGATCCTCAGCACCACATAAAACAAATAAATAAAATAAAGGTATTGTGTCCCACTACAATTAAAAAAAAAAAAAAGAAAGATCATTTGGTAGATGGAAGACCGGCTAGCCAGGGAAGTTAGAGCCATGGTACTACAAGGGAATACATCAGGGAGGGCGGAGTTTATTTTATTTTATTTTAGGTACTGGAGATTGAACCCAGGTGGGCTTTACTCCAATCCTTTAAAAAAAATTTTTTTGTATACCATTCCACTAAGTTGTTCAGGGCCTCACTAAGTTGCTGAGGCTGGCTTTTTACTTGTGATCCTCCTGCCTCAGCCTCCAGAGTCGCTGGGATTACAGGCGTGCACTATGGAGGGCTGGTTTTAAAGGGCATCCAGGGACAGTGCATGCACAGTGGTGCTGTCCGCCACACCATCTGCAGGGGAACTGGGTGAGACAGACGTCCCTCTTCTGGGTACACCAGGCTGCCCACTACCTAGTCCCCAGCAGTCACACTTGACTCCTGCACAAGTAGCCTGGGGTCCTCTTTCCTGGACCTTTACTTGGGGAAAAGACCCAGTAACAGGATCTAGTACGTGTGCGGGTTCCACCAACCGAGCCCTCCTTATGGATGAGCTGGTCTCCCCTTGAAGATTTTGAAGCTCCGGCTGTTTGGGGAGTGAGTGTTCTGGGAGGGGTGTGTCTTCATCACTGAGCAGAGGGACAGGCTGCCAGCAGGCCCTGTCCCCAAGTGCTAAAGTAGCAATGCCAGTAGGAGGAAACTCCCTCCCACCAGCAAGCCCAGTCCACTGGCTCGGGAAAGGCTGGGCAGGACAGTGGTTAGGAGCCAGGTTGAGTCCTGGCAGAGCCACTTACTAACTGCAGAGTCCTAAGCAGGGTACACCACTTCTCTGTGGCTTGGTTGCCCGTCTGTAGAACAAGGGGTGGTAGGAGTTCTTTGAGGAGTTGTAAGGACAATCACAGCTGATAGGACTCTGCCTGCTCCACTGATAAAATCTTCATACATGTTCTAACCACTCATTGCCCTCCTGGGTCAGAAGTATAAACAAAGACGACTCAACAGTCTCTTGGAAAATAAGCTGCTCCTAAAACTTCATTAAAAAAAAAATCTTAATAAATCCAGGTGTGGTGATGCATACCTGCAATCCCAGTGACTCTGGACACTCTGTTGCTGGGGACGAGGAGCCAATCATCTAGATGTTGCTGGGGCCGCTGTGAGCCAATCATCAGCCGGCAGCTGGAAGTTTGCTGGGGCCCCTTCGGCTGTGGCTCTCAACATCTGGAGGCTGAAGCAGGAGGATCGCAAGCTTGAGGCCAGCCTCAGAAACTTAGTAAGGCCCTAAGCAACTTAGCAAGATCCCGTGTCAAAAAAAAAAAAGTAGAAAGGGCTGGGGATGTGGCTGAGTGGCAAAGCACCCCGGGGTTCAACCCCCAGTTCAAAACATAAAAATTTAATTGACCTCATCAGACACCCATAAGCTCTGGTGCACTCTGGGTTAAAATGAGAAATAACATGAAGAGCCAGCCTCCTGGTTCCCTCTCACTCAAAGAAACCCGGATGAGCACGTCGGAAGGCCCTGTGGGAGCGCAGGCAGGGCCCAGAGTGAGGGAGTCGGAGCGCACAGACCTGGCCGCCGGCTGGTTCCCACCAGCACCCCAGCACCAGCCCTAGGTGGCTGCAGGCTCTCAGGTAGGGTGCTTTGTTTTTTTTCTGAGTCTCAGTTTTCTCACCCAGCAAATGGGCCTCATCCCACAGCTGAGCTCAGACCATAAATGACGCTGTGGAGGACAGGGTTTGGCCGCGGGGCCTGGGATCCCGGCAATGTAGGGCGTGGGAGGGGACCCTGTGAAAGACACACAACGGGATTCTGCAGGCTGTCTCCTTGTCTCTCTCTGGGGTCAGAGGAAGTGAGATGGCAGCCCCAGGGGAAGGGCACCCAAAGAGCTCGGCTTCTGGTCAGAACCTTGTTGACTTGTGATTTGGGGTTTTGTTTATTTGTTTGTACTGGGGATTGAACCCAAGGGTGCTTTACCACGGAGCCACATCCCCAGCCCCTTTTTATGTTTTCTTTTGAGACAGTGTGGCTCGGTTGCCAAGGCTGGCCTCAAACTTGAGATCCCCCCTTCTCAGCCTCCTGAGTCTCCGGGATGACAGGTGGGCTCTGTGGTGCCCAACTGGTTAGGGTTTTTGAAGGCTCCTTTCCTGGGTGACATCAGGAAGCTGAGGTCTGGGGCAGGATGGAGCCTCACCCCACTGGGTGCAAGTGAGCAGCCTTCACTCCCCCGACACACACTCTGCCTCCAGTCCCTGACACTTTGGTTAGAGCTTCTGGAAGGAGCCATCATCAGGGAGACAGCTTTACTGGTTGGTGGAATTCCAGGCACAGAAGACCAGGGAGACAAAGGCGGTGACTCACGCCCCGCGGTCACCCCGCTCCCAGGAAGGGAGTATCCACTCTGAAAAGCAGCTTCTGCAAAGTGTCTTGCATGTATGACGTGTGCACAGACATTTCAGAGCATTAACAACCCTGGAGGGAAAGCAAGCCCCACCGCCCACTGGACCAGCCCTCAGGCTGCGCCTCCAACCCACCATTAGGACCTCTCTGGGACCTGCAGAAAACACAGGGTGTTGTGATTTTTGTTTCCCCAAACAAGGGATTGTTGTGAATACATGAAGACAAATCCATTTCAAAAGAGGTACAATGTTGACTTTATTTCACTGAGGAAATTTGTGCTCAGAGGTAAGAAACATCTTATAGAAAACAGCTAAATAAATAAATAAATAAGTAGAATAAATAGCAGTCACTTCAAAGGGAGCCGTGGGGCTGGGGAAAGAGCCCCCTGTGGGATCGGAAGCTGATGTCCGCAGCAGGACTTCCTCCTAATGCCGCCTCAGCACTGTGGGGAGAAGACAGGGTGACCATGACCTTGAGGGGAAATGGAGGCAGGAGCTGAGCTTCCCCCGCTGTGCGCCACCCCCACCCTCCGGTCCCTCCACTGATCTTGATGTTTGAGGCTTTGGAACAATCTTCCTCTCTGGGTCTCAGTTTCCTCCTCTGGAAAGTGGGGTGACCCTGGCGATCCTGTCCTCTGCCTTCAAGGCTCCATGCAATTCCAGAGAAGCCAGGGGGCTCCTGGCTTAGGACCCTGTCTGCTCCCAGGAGGGGCTGCCAGGCAGTGAACAAACTCCACCCTCTGGAGATTCCGCTCCAGTTTGATCAGAGGCAGGGAGTGGCCAGGAGGAGGGTGGGGATTCATTGAGCACCTAATGAATGATGCCCCCATTTCACATTTCCAGAAAGGCACCCCTTGGCCCTGGAGACTGTCAGAGGAGATGTCCGGGTGTCCTAGACAACAAACCCACGGTGCCGCTAACGGTGGCCTGCACAGGGATGTGGGTGAGAGTGCAGCTGGCCAGCGGGGTGGCGAGGTGGGGGCTCACCATTGCAGCCCAGGCGGCTGTAGGAGCCGATCCGGTCCAACTTCCGTCCGAAGCAACCCGAGTCTCGCATTATCTTGGCGGTGCGAAGTCCCCGCAGAGCCTGGAGGACTTTGTCTCTGGGCCCAGGGACACCCTTGGGGGCAGCCTTCGCAGCCTCCGAGGCTTCTGTGGGGTCTTGGTCCTGCTGGAGCGGCTCCAGGGCCGTCGGCTGTGCTGGTGGCTCTGACCCCTCGTCCTGCAGGCGATCCAGCAGCTCCTGTGGGGGGGGAGCCTGAGCTCAGGATCATGCACCTCACCTGTCACTCATTCCCCAATGAAGGGCAGACCCTTGGGCTGACAGGTGGGAGCCCAGTAAGTGCTGCTGCCAGCCCTTCCGACAGCCCAGCCTCCAGCTCCTCAGCCTCACCTGTATCCCGGCGAGCTCCGCAGCCTGGCCAGGGCTGCCCAGCGGGTGGGGGCGACCTCCTGGCAGCAACAGGCTCAGGAAAAGCACAAGCAGACTTCCCCGGGACAGCACCATCTGGGGGTCCATGTCGCTTGGGTGGTGGGCTGGGGCTGCTGCTGCTTCCGTCCAAGTTCACAGCCACCTCCTCCAGGCCCACGGAGGCTCTCCTGGCTCCTCCGGCAACCGTGGCCTTTTATCCTGGCGTTGGGTGTCCGGCCAGCCCTTCCCCCCTGTGTGGGGGTTATCTCTGATTTATCAGCCACATTCCGGCCCTCTGAGCTCAGGACCTGGGAATGCTCTGCGCCTGTGAGGAATACTCACTGGGGGTGGAGGTGGGGAAGCAGGCCTTGTATAGAAATGGGCCGGGCCAGGGCGGGAGCGTGCGGGGGACAGCTTCTTCCTTCGCAAAAATCTGGGGCCTTGAACATGGCTCTTTCCCCTTCCCTCCCCACCCAGCCACTGTTGGAAGCGACAGGGAGAACCCCAGCCTTCCAAGGCCCGCGCGAGCGTGGGGCGCACGGTGACTCAGAGAAGAGCCCCAGCCGACGCCCACCGCCGCCAGCAGCGTCTTCCTCCCGCAGTTCCCGCGCCTGCAGCCGTAACCCAGCACCCGCCCGGGCTCCTCACACCCGGCCGTCGCCGGGGCCGCTGTCCGTGGTGCTGACCACCCCAAGGGAACTCTGTGCAGACTCTCAAGATTCGCTCTCCAGCCAGATTTCCAGACCAGACAGACCTGTGCGGGGCAGGGTGCAGGACAGCTCTGACCCCTCTTCCGACTCACACCCCAACCCCGGGGAGCCTTTCAGCACTGGGATGCGAATTCTCCAATGTCAACTGATTAAAAGCCTGAGTATGACAAGGAACTTCTGGAATGCCGACCCTTCTTCCACCCCTTAAAGGGTAGAGCTGATTCGGTTGGAATTTTGAGAGCACAGCCCAGAGATGAAGTCATGCAGGAATGCCTTCTATGACATCTCCTCCAGGTGCAAACGTCACCTCTGCCCCACCAAGACAAGCGTGATGGGAAAGGGCTGAGTGGAAAGATGGCTATCTATGTGGTGGTACATCCGAGGTGTGTCCCTTCCAGAGAATCTGTGTTAATAGGCAGTAGGTGGGGGGGTCTAGAATAAGAGACAGGATATGGCAGAGATGGGGGAAGGGACAGCGAGAAGCTGGGAACTGCTAGGTGTGGTGGTGCATGCCTGTAATCCCAGCAATGAAGGAGGCTGAGACAGGAGGATCACAAGTTCAAGGCCAGCCTCTGCAACTTAACAAGACCCTCAGCAGCTTAGTGAGACCGAGTCTGAAAATAAAAAAGGGGACTAGGGATATAACTCAGTGGTAAAGTCCTTCTGGGTTAAATCTCCAGTACCCAAAACAATAACAACAAAACAACCCTGGGACCACTTAGCAAATTCTAGCATAATCACTTCTTTCTGAGTGTGGTGGTGCATGCCTGTAATTCCAACGACTTAGGAGGCTGAGACAGGAGGATTGCAAATTCAAGGCCAGCCTCAGCAAGATCCTGTCTCAAAGTAAAAAACAAAAAGGGCTGGGGATGTGGTTCAGTGGTAAAGTGCCCTTGGGTCCAATACCTGGTACCAAAACAAAAACAAAAACAAATCAAAACAGCATCTTTTCAGGTACTGAGTGAGAAAGTGTTCTTATTAGTCCTGATTTTTCAGATGAGAAAACTGAGCTCAGCTGAATTAAACTACTTTCCAAAAGTCACACAATATGCACACAAGGCAGTCTGATTCCAGACCTGAAACTCTTACTTGCCGCTGGGATGCTTGCAAGATGTTTTTGCTCAAAGAAAATTTAGATAAATCTATTGTCATCTATGAAGACTTGGGGATCTGTGCTGTGGGGAGCAAAAATCAGAAATAACCCAGGAGAGTTGGTCCTTGCGTGGAAGGGGACTGTGAGCTTGCCAAGGAGACAGAGAAGTGGAGTACCAAACGAAAGTCCAGAGCGTCTCTGCCCACAGAGGAGGGGACAGGGATGACAGGACTGAGTGCATCCTCCAAGCTTCTCTCCAGGAAGAACAACTGGACACCAACCGGCTCGCACACTGGATCACGAACACACATTGGGCGCCTACTGTACACCATGCACTCTCCACATCTCTTCAACATGGCTGTTGGGAGTCACCCCAGCTCCAAAGACTAACTTCCCCATCCCCCCAGAGAAGAGCCATCCAATGATAAGCCCTGCTGGCTCACATGATCCTTACCCACCAATCAGACTAGCCCTGCTGACTCACATGATCCTTACCCACCAATCAGACTAGCCCTGCTGACTCACATGACCCTTACCCACCAATCAGAAAGCACCCTGTGCCAACTGTCAGACCGTTAAACCGTTAAACTATCATAACTGTCAAACCACCCCCGGCTCTATAAATAAGCAGAGCTGTTCCTCAATAAACAGGCATTTTCTCCACAAGGAGCCTTGTTCGTTCTTTCAATGGCTAATCCTGCGGTCTCTGGGGCAGCCTTCTGCACAGGGGCTTTGTTAGATGGTGCCGGTGGTAGGTGGAATGATATCCCCTCAGCATGTCCTTATCCCGGAACCTGAGAAAATGCTATTTTACATGGTGAAAAGGCCTTCACAGGTGTGGCTAGGTTAAGGACCTGGAGGTGAATTCTCACGGATTATCCAGGAGGACTCAAGACGGCCACAAGGGTGCTCAGAAGACAGAGGCAGGAGGAGGAGGGTCAGAGAGAGAGAATGCACGGAGAGGCGAGGAGGTGGAGGAGGGGCCGCAGCCAAGGGGCAGAGTTGAGCCCTACTGTTTGCCCACCTTGATTTGGCCCAGTGAAGCAGATTTCAGACTCCGATCTCCAAAAAGAAAACAAAGTCACCTAAGCCAGCACACCTGTGGCATCTGTTTCAGCAGCCATGAGAGTAACGCAGGACATGTGACCCTGAGCATGGCGCTGGCCCCCAGGGAAGCCCAGGAAAATCTGCAGTGGCAAAATTGGTTCTCACCAGGGCCAAACCCTACGTGCAAGGTGCTGGCCACAGAGACAGAAAGAAGACCCTTAATGCACCCAACAAACCTTCATAGCGAACCTGGGGCACTGGAGTCTGGATTTCCTAGGTTCCTCCCGCCTCATCGTCCTCTTGCTCTCTGTGTGGTCTTGGTCAGGTCGCTGTCCCTCTGTCCTCTCACACCTGCTCACAGTGCTGTGGAGACAATGAGGCTTTGTTCCTGCAGGCACCTAGGACCAGACAGTCCCCGCCTCAGAGGAGCTCCTGGTGCAGGGGAAAGGCAGGCGCGGGGTGAGGTGAGCCACAGGGGTGAGGTGAGGGACAGCGGGTGGCGCAGTCCTGGGTGCTCTGCAAGCACCGCAGGGTGGAGGTGGAGGAGGGAGCTTCCTGGAAAGGCTGGGCGGAGGCTTTGAGGGACCAGGAGTGGCCGTGAGAGCGAGGGTGGGAGAGCTCTGGGCCCAGCAGTCAGCGAAAGCGAAAGCCAAGGGCTGGTTCATGGGTCCCTGCCTCCAAGGCTTTGGACAGGAGGAGGAGGGTGCAGGGAAGGAGAGGCCCGATGGCCGGGGAGTGTGGTCCCCTCTGCAAGGATTTTCTGTAGCTTCCCAATCTCCAGCCCAGTCATGAGTAGCCATAGCCGGTGGCATGAGAGCCCCGGGCACCTGGGGACAGGCAAAGGAAAACAAGAGGACCCCTGAGCAGGCAGGGCAGAGGCGGGCACGTTTCTGGCCACTGAACATGGCTCTCTGCAAGGTGCGGCTCTGCCTGGGCCTCTGTCTCCCCTGGTAAAAGGAAGGCGTTAGGCTGGGACTTCCCTCAGGCACAAAACCCGAACTGGGTACGTCAGTGTCCCTAGTTCATGGTCACATCTGCTTGCCAGCTCCCACCCCACAGAGGTCCCATCTTCCAGGACCCTCAGGCCTTCCCCAAGGCCAGAAACCACCTGCAGAGGGGCTTCCAGATCCTTCAGAGGTGTGGCAGAATGCAGAGGGGTATGTGTGTCTTTGTGTGTGTGTGTGTGTGTGTGTGTGTGTGAGAGAGAGAGAGAGAGAGAGAGAGAGAGAGAGTGTGTGTTGGGGGTGGTTTGGAAACCAGCTGGTGTAGAGTCCTTCCCTGCCCTTGAAGGATTCTCTAGACTGTGGCTGTAAGGGAAGAGCCAGCGTGGCCACATGGGAAAGCAGCTATTAACTGCCACCACCCCTCCCCCTGCCGTGTCCAGCCTCACCAGCAGAGTCAGGGCATATGAGGGTCCTTGTGTAGTGGAGGGAATGCTCCTTTCTCTTTCTCTACCCATATTGTCCCTGTAGCTAACATTCTGGTGACATTCTGGAGGCCCTGGATCCAGCAGTGCCTGAACTCAATCCACCTTGGACTTTTCAGTATGTGAGCCAACAAATCTGCCTTTCCCTGTTTGCCTAAACCAGCTCAGATTAGATTTTTGTCACTTCCATCTCCAAATTATTTTTTTTTAAATAATTATCTTTTTAGTTTTCGGTGGACACATCTTTATTTTGTTTTTATGTGGTGCTGAGGATCGAACCCAGTGCCTTGCACATGCCAGGTGAGCACGCTACCGCTTGAGCCACATCCCCAGCCCCCATCTCCAAATTCTTAACTGACATAGTCACCAAAAGAAACTGCCTGCCTTCGTTCTTAGAGAGCCTTCTTGAGAGCAAGACACCGCACCCTTGGTAAAGCTCGAGGTCTCAGAGCTTTGCAGACAAATGTTCTGATCATTGTCTGATGAATTCTCTCCTCTCGCCATGTGAGTCAATCCCCTGGGGTCAGACAAAAGGTGGAAAAGCGAGGCAGGACCTGCACTTTCAGAGGAAATCGGAAGCCTGTTTAGTTTCCCAGGCTTTATTTTTGTTGGGTTTTGTTTTGTCTTGGTTTTCCCCCTAATCTAAATAGTGGGCATGAATCAGCAGATGGGAGGAATCGGGGCAGAGTGACACACACACCTGGGCTCTGTCCTAGCATGGTGGGACAGCTGCAGGAACTAGAGAGCCTGCCTTCAAGTGGCAGGGCAAAGGACAGCACCTGAGGCCCCACCCACCAGGAGAAAGGGGTCCTTCCACCTTTGGAGGCAGATTCCTCCCAAGACCCTCATTGTCCAGGAACCTCGTCCCCTTCCTGCAGGAGGAGAGGGCAAGACATATCTCAGCTCCCAGTCACCAGTCTGTGACATTTCTTCC